TCGTTGTATGGAAGTTGTCTCTTTGACGAGTTGTTGTATGATGCTGAGGATGGCGATACTCACTGACAATGCCGGCGAAACGTTTGGGAATGTACCACGTGCACGGTTCAACCTTGGAAATGATCATGCAGACAATCAACTCCGGACAAGGTGCCTTCCTCCAAATCTTCCTACCAACATGACCATGTTGTTGACTTGGAGTTTGTCAATTTGACACTTTCACAAGAATCATTCAAGCCCTGATGCTGTTCCTCAAATGACAAGCAAAAGCTCTGCCCATTTTCACCCGGCAACCATGAGGCGACTGCTCCGTTGCCAGGCGACTCGCGTGGCAACTGTGAGTATCGGCTCTTTTGTCTCGGCACGTCGGAAGCGCATTGTCGGCAGTAGCATCTGCCCGACTATGAAGACCTTCCAGGCGCGGACGGCCATTTTCACGTAGACCCAATTCCTGACGAATTTGTGGCCGGACAAAGCACAAGCGTGCATTCGGGTGTACATTTGATTTCACAGAGGCCGGTATCGTGAATTAGGCACAACCAACTTGCATTCGCTCAATCAAGACAGGCAAAAACATACACCGACACGGGAACATGTTATCGAGAAAATGGACAGTTTGCTTGATTGAACTGCACGGGGTGAAGTGAATGCAACTGACCTACAGACAGGCTTACAAGCACCCACATTCACCTGTAGACATACGCATTTGGATTGGGAGAAAAGTAGTGACCAGCTCGACAAAGCTGCAAGCTACACTGAAATCAGGCTTTTGCCTATAGGGTGATTTTATGCCGCGCTCGCACACACACACACACACACACACGCACATGCAACATGTGATATCGAGACCTGGTGACATGAGCAGAAAGAAATGGTAAACGAGCCACGGACTTTAGCCAAAAGCCTCTCCGATAAACATTGTCCCAATTGGCAGGCCGTCATGCAGATTCACCGGATCTCGCATTCGCCTGGAAAGGATCGGCAGTAAAAATTAGAAAAACATACAAACGTGGTTGTCCGAACGGCCAGTTTTGGTGTAACCCAATCGAGACCAGTAGCATTGGAGATGGAAGAAGAAAAGAAGAAAATAATAACAAGAAGAAGAGTAGAGAAGAGTATAGGTGGACAGACGTAAGCAGCGCCGGTCAATCAGTCGTCTAGCAGACTAGCCGAATGACCAATCAGATTACAAGCCAGCCAATCATCGGTTTAGTCAACCAGCCGGATGGCCAATCAGATTGAAAGCCAGCCAATCAGCCGTTTAGTCAACCAGCCGTGTGGCCAATCAGATAACAGGCCAGCCAATCAGCCGTTTAGCCAGTCAACCAGACAACCAACATGTCAGGCAATCAACAAGTCACTCAATCGGTCGGCAGGTGAGCCAAGAAGAAAGCCCATCGGTCGGTCACTCAACCCGTATTTCGGTCAATCATGCATTCTTTCAATTGCATACGAAGAAAAGTTGGGTTTCGAGGAATCTCTTGTTTCACAATTTTTGAGCTTACTTCCATTTCGAGTGGAAGTGTTGGGTGAAGGGATTCGAAGGTCGGTTCCACCAAAGATATGGCGGCTGATTCATCTTATGCGAAGAAATGTTGGGTTTCGAGGAATCTCTTGTTTCACAATTG